ATTCCAAGGGCTTTCGCCCGGAATAACCTCGTTCCCAAGCACTATAACTTATCTATATTTCTATATCTTCATGTATTTCATAAGTGCTACGCGGTCCACATATTCTCTTTCTCTATTCAGTTTATTTTTCATGTAAAATGTGACAACATGTCATAAGTCATTAAAGCAAGACTGAAAACACTTTTTTAGTATGCAAGGCGATTTTTGCGCTAATTCACGGGCCAGTTAGTTTTTCGGCTTGATATTTCTCGCAAAAAGCAATCTTGTGCTTTATATCAATACTTCACTTCTTTGTAATTATGTCGCACGTGAAGTTACGTTGTCTGACCTAAACTTTGGGAATATTTGCAAAATATTCAAACTTAATCAAAGTGCTGGCGTCCATTTAATAGACGAAAAAGAGGGAGAAAGAGTATTCTCCTTCCGCGATGTTTACACTTGCACCATGGACTAATAACAGGGTTCCCGGGGGTCAGGGAAAAGTCAGGGRAAAACACAGTCAGGGAAAAGTCAGGGAATTTTTTCATTTAGTAAGGGAAATTGCGATTTTCACCTAAAGTCAGAAAAAAGTCAGGGAATTTTGTTTAAAGTTAACCATGAGTATCCGTGTGATACTCATACTGTTTGCAATTTTCGAATAGACTGATAAATCGTTTCAAATAATGAAAAAAATATTGAAGTATTTAGTATAATTTATGCCGGAAAGTTTAATTACGTTGGGTATCCTGTGTAATATGTTAAGAGCGGGGCCTAGGTAAAAGTTAGGCATGTGGCCCATACTTGCCCATGCGGCCCAACAAGGTCAATGAAAACTGTTATTTAGTCAGGGAAAAGTCAGGGAATTTTTATTTTTCAAAATGGCTGGGAACCCTGTAATTCAATGCTGTTAGCTTTGCTTGTACTTTACATCAGTCCCCACTACCATAGGAGGTTGTTGCCAGTATTGATATTRATATTAATATTAAGTTGTTTGATTGTTAGGATGAGTGTGCTTCCAAACCCGTGCCGCCGCCACTATTTGACGACGATGAAGATGACAACACAGACTGGTTTAAATAAATGTACTCCATTTCCTTTAAACGTTATCAAGGTTTATATTTTTTGTGATGCGTGATCGTGAAAAATTTAAGTTCATGAAATGGTGAATAGCATGTTTGTCGAGATATGTGAGGATCCATTTTATTTTCGCGAAAGATGCTCCACTACCCTGGAGCCCTACCAAATTTTAAAATCCTCCATTTTGCCATTTTGTTTCCGACGCCGAAACGCCGAAATGCCAAACCAAGGCAAAAAAAAACCACGGCCATACCTCACGTTTTACAATAACAAAAATCAAAAACTAAAAACCTTTGATAACCTGTATAGCTATATTTCAAGGGTATGAGTTTGATAAAAGAAT